ACCTCTTCATGATAAAGGTCTTGGAGAAATCAGGAATACAGGGAACATACCTAAACATAATAAAGGCAAGTTATAGCAAGCAGACAGCCAACATCAGATTAAATGGAGAGAAACTCAAAGCAATTCCACCAAAATCAGGAACAAGACAAGGCTGTCCACTCTCCCCATATTTATTCAATATAGTACTTGAAGTTCTAGCTAGAGCAATAAGACAGCAAAAGGAGATCTAGGGGATACAAATTGGAAAGGAAGAAGTCAAACTTTCACTATTTGCAAACGATATGAAAGTATACATTAGTGACCCCAAAAATTCTACCAGGGAACTCCTACAACTGATAAACTCCTTCAGTAATGTGGCAGGATACAAGATTAACTCAAAAAAATCAGTAGCCCTCCTATATACAAATGATAAAAATGCTGAGAAGGAAATCAGAGAAACATCACCCTTTACAATAGTCACAAATAATATAAAATACCTTGGGGTAATTCTAACTAAGCAAGTGAAAAACCTGTATGGTAAGAACTTTAAGTCTCTCAAGAAAGAAATTGAAGATGTCAGAAAATGGAAAGATCTCCCATGCTCACAGATAGGTAGGATCAACATAGTAAAAACGGCAATCTTACCAAAAGCAATCTACAGATTCAATACAATTCCCATCAAAATCCCAACACAATTCTTCACAGACCTGGAAAGAACAATACTCAACTTCATATGGAAAAACAAAAGACCCAGGATAGCTAAAGAATCCTGTACAATAAAGCAACCTCTGGAGGCATCACAATTCCTGACTTCAAGCTCTACTATAGAGCTACAGTAATAAAAATAAATAAATAAATAAATAAATAAATAAATAAATAAATAAATAAATAAATAAATAAATAAAACCTTGGTAAAGGCATAAAAACCACAAGGACACATGTTTACCTGTGTTTATAGCAGCATTATTCATAATAGCCAGAACCTGGAAACAACCTAAATGTCCCTCAGCTGAAGAATGGATAAAGAAAATGTGGCACATGTATACAATGGAGTACTACTTAGCATTAAAAAAAAACAATGATGCAGGCAAATGGATGAAACTAGAAAATATCATCCTGAATGAGGTAACCCATACTCAAAAGGACAAACATGATAGGTACTCACTCATAAGTGGATGCTAGATATAAAGCAAAGGAGAACCAGACTGCAACCCACAGCTCCAGAGAAGCTAGCTAACAAGGAGGACCCTAAGAGGGCTGCATGGATCGCCCAGTGAAGAAGAAATAGATGAGATCTACATGAGCAAACTGAGATGGGGGGAGGGGAATGGAGGGCAAGGGATAGGGGATGAGAACATAAGGGAATGGGAGGTTCCAGCTGGAACAGGAACAGAATGGGAGAGCAAGGAAAGAGATACCATGATAAATGAAGACATCATGGGAATAGGGAGAAACAGGGTACTAGGGAAATTCCCAGGAATCCACAAGAATGACCCCACCTTAGACTACTGGAAATAGTTGAGAGGATGCCTGAACTGGCCTACTCTGGTAATCAGATTAGTGAATACCCTAGCTGTCATCACAGAGCCTCTATCTAGTGACTGATGGAAGCAGATGCAGAGATCCATAGCTGGGTCCCAGGCAGAGTTCCAGGAGTCCAATTGATGAGAGAGAGGAGGGATTCTATGAGCAAGAGATATCGAGATCAGGACGGGAAAACGTACAGAGGCAGCCAAAGTAGTGAAAACTCATGAACTGTGGACCAATAGCTGTGAAGCCTCCATGGGTCTGAACTAGGCCCTCTAGATAGGCGAGACAGTTGTTTAGCTTGAACTGTTTTGGGGACCCTTAGGCAGTGGGATCAGGATCTATCCCTGGTGCATGAGCAGGCTTTTTGGAGCCCAGTGCCTATGGTGGGATATCTTGCACAGCCTTTGTGCATGGGGGAGTGGCTTGAACCTGCCTCTACTGAATGTACCAGGCTCTGCTGACTCCCCATGGGAAACTTTGTCTTGGAGGAAGTGGGAATCGGGGGTAGGATGGTGGGGAAAGCTGAGGGGCAGGAGGAGGGAGGATAGGGAGATCTGTGGTTGGTTTGTAAAATGAATAGAAAATTTCTTAATAATTAAAAACATGAAAAAAAAGAAGTCAGGCAATGGTAGCATATGCCTTTAATTCTAGCAATTGGGAGGGAAAGATCCATCTGGATCTCTGTGAGTTCAAGGCCACACTGGGGAATAGAACCAGGCATGGTGATACATGCCTTTAATCCCAGCACTAACCATAGAGGTCTGGAGGTCTGTACAGACAGACAGGAAGTGATGTAGCTGGGCAGAGAGAGGAAGTGAGATGCAGAACAGAAAGCCATGTAAGCGTGGATATAAAGGAAGTAGGTCTCTTTGGAAGCTGAGGTGTCAGTGAGGTGAGGTTGGCTGTGGCTTGTCCTATTGCTCTGATCTTTCAGTTTTTCACCCCAATGAAAGGCTCTGGGTTTGTTATTAATAAGACCATTTAGCAATTTGTCTTACATAAGAGTTCTGTTAGAGAAAACCCTCATGCAAGGTGATATGGAATTACTGCCATTTGAATGAGCTGGCTGTTTCTAGTGATAAATCTCTTGTACATTAACAGCTATGATTCTCCCCATTTAACATGCATTTCCATGTTATGTGTGCATTCCCCTGTTGTGGCAGGAAGTCATACATGCAGATAGAGCACTTCACATATATAAATAAAATACTCAAACTTGTGCTTTACTTATCTCTGGTATTGAACTAAATTAGTGTCATATGGGTTTAGTGTTGGGTGTCTGTCATGTACAACATGGGGTCTGTCAGGAAGCAGTGAGGGATGCCTAGGACGGAGATGGTGCATATTCTCCTGTTGACCTACATCTACAGTCATATCATTTTACACCTACATGTAAAAGAATGAATTTCTCTGGACTTATAACCCGGTCATGGGAGGTGACCTCTCTAATTCTTTGGAATTCCTGGAGCTATTGGGAAATCTATTTTACCATGGTAGGCCATGAAGCCTTATGCTGCTCAGTTCTTTCATACTTCATGCTGACAAGATGATTCATGGTGGATGCTCACTATTTCAAAAGCACTGACCATGTGATTAAAATGTGGTGCTTTTGAGCCATGAGATGCTCATGCTGGCAGGGAAGTGATGCTGAAGACTGAGTTCACTCTCTTATCAACCAAACACTCACACCTATATAATGAACCCTGGTCAATCTCTGAACATCAGAGCTCAGATGAGTGCCCGCTGATTGGTTATCCTGTATACTGCCACTCATTAACATTCTGGGAAGGAGATGCATCCATGGGGTCAATGGAAGTTCCCTTTATGGGACCCTCCCTGACCTCACCTGAAATGTCACTCACTTTAGTTCTGCTTTGTACCTGTCTACATAAAAAAAAAACTACAATCCTAGTAGAACAGAATCGTTAGTTCAGTGTGTCATCCTAGCAGCTCATAAATCTGCAGGTATCATGGGATCCTGGGACTCTGCAGACAGATGACTTAAAGTAATGGCATCCTTGGGAACTCCTGAACTTGAAGCTCGAGTCTGAAATGAGGACAGCCTTGTGGAGGCATGGCCTGAAGTTGTAGAACAATTTAATTAGTAAATCTAATGTTTGCAGCTATGGATAACCAGAACAGCCATAAGAAACATTTTGGGGATGGCTGAGGAAATACAAGCAATATCACATACCATATCAGAAAAGAGCTGTTAAATTTTCTAAGAGTGATAGTGGTATTGTTTTCTTGTACACTGACAATTTCAGATGATATATACTGAAATATTGCCAGAAGTGTTATGTATCAAACTAACTCTCAAGTACCCTATCAAAATATCAACAATTGATAATATCATCCAGTCAACTTCTGTTTCAAAATTTGAAAGGGCCTCCAAAGTGTTAAGCAGCATGCAGGCTTTCATGGGACATATGGCTCTCCTCAATGTTCATCCACAGGGCAGAGGCTGTCCCTAATGTGGCAGGCACAAGGTGGGACGCCAAGAATAACTGGTAGTGCCAATAGAAAGTTGGCTATCATCTTCTTTTTTTTTTTTTTTTTTTTTTTGGTTTTTTTGAGACAGGGTTTCTCTGTGTAGCTTTGCGCCTTTCCTGGAACTCACTTGGTAGTCCAGGCTGGCCTCGAACTCACAGAGATCCGCCTGGCTCTGCCTCCCGAGTGCTGGGATTAAAGGCGTGCGCCACCACTGCCCAGCGGCTATCATCTTCTTAAACTTGCTCTTGAGGAAGGTCACCCAGTCCAGGATCAGCCACCATTAGAGGCCCACATCAGCCTCACGGCACCCACAGCACCTGACACACTAGCCATGGGGACCAAGTTCCTGAATGGGTCCTGGAAGTGCAGGTTTGGGGGACAGGAGAAAATGCTGATGGAAGGGCACAAACTGCCAGACAAAGTGTGAGTAAGCACTGAGGATCAAAGTGACAATAGGTAACAATGTCACCCTGTCTGTCTGAATTTGCTAAAGAAGATCTAAATGGTCTAACGACAGACACACAAAACAGACAACTATGTTAGGTAATAGAGGCTGTTGTTCACCTGATTGTGGTAGACATTGCATAATACATTTCCATATCAAGTCAAGACAGTGTAATGTACATATACATAATTTATTTTTCAATTATACATCATTAATCTAAAGACAGAGGAATAAGAAGAGAGAAATTGGTGGAGGGTCCACACCATACAATTGTGTCATCAAATAAGACTTTAAGAATCTAAGAATGGACAGAGAAGCAGGAGTGCTTCCACATATGCACAAAGGGACCTGTAGAGTCTCGGGCACATGGGAAATTCTCATTATATAAAGAGCTAAGGATGAATAAATAAGTATATGGGGACCAGAATTATCATATGGATAACTGTTGATGCCTACCTAGATTTCTATGGTCATCTCTTCCACAAGAAGGTCTTTCCAGGTGTCTGTGTAATGCTGGAAAAAATGCAATCCATGTCCATGGAAAAAACTTGATTCATAAATATATTTTCTTCATCTGACAAACTGACTTCCTCATACAATTGCAAGGGATGTCATTCCAGTCCCATTTGGAAGATAGATGACGTATTACAACACATTCTTCGTTGTTCTTGTCGTTGTTGGGCTCACCCGGGTGCCAGAACCTGGAAGGGAGGAAAGAGCATCAGGGTGTTTCCCACAGTGATGCTGGGAAAGAGAAAACAAGAGTAAGCAAGCCTGAGGATGCGGTGGGAATTTGTGGAAATCAGATTCAGGTGTGTACAAATCAACCGTTCTCCACCACCCATGTCTGACATGTCCCTGGAAAACAGGGTCCACCACACTCAATATTCTCTTAGCTTGTTACCTAACTGTTCTCCCAGAACACATCCCAGAGGCTACTTTATTCTACTTATCCCTAGGTCTTGGTACCCAGGGACTATCATTCTGTGTGCTTCCTTACATGATGAAAAGGTCTCTCCTTATTCTTGTGTTTTAATACAGGGTTTTTTTTTTCATTTTACAAGAGTCTTATTTTAGAGACTGAAAAGATGTTTAAATATCTAGATAATCTGCTTATTTCTAATATCTAGGACAAGTAATTTAACATCCTCGATTTCTACTTTTCTTCTCTGAAGACTGAGAACGAGAATAACATCACTACCTATATCTCACAACAGAAATCAGGAGAGAATATGGGAACATACTAAGATATTAGAGTTTTTAAATAATTATATAAATACAACAAAAGACAATATCAGAATGCGGGCTTTTGATTTCAGAGAATTAATCATTTATGATCTTGACATTAATTTTTATTATAACGCTATAAATGAGAGCTAGGGAGAGGACTCAGACATTAAAAGTGCTTGTGCTTTTGCAGAAAGTGTGCGAGTTCTGTTCCCAGCACACATATTGACACAGTCACACCACCAGTGACCTCACCTCCAGTGAATCCAACACCCTCTCCTGGACTCCATGGGCACCCACATACACATGGCACACACTCAAGAGAGACACTGATATACACACAAATAAAAATAAATTAAATCCTATTGTTAAATATAGATGAGAGACTGAAAGCATAATGAAACCCACCATGATGTAGCACCTTGGTTGGGTGCCCTGGGTACTTATCATGCTACACTCTTCAAACTCAATTTTCTCATTTCTCCTGGAGTATCAGTGACATGTGTCTCACAGGACTCCTTGGTGAGGAAATGGGGATAAAGTAACTCCATTGCCAGCACTCACACCAGGAGTAAGCTGTTTTAGTTTCATAACCAACAGCTGGAACACCCTAAAGTCTTCTCATGCTACAGGACCCAGGACTCCTCTAGGTAACTCTGGACTCACGTGGCACTTTCATTGTATGGTGTCTGATCAACCCATCGCCACTGTCGGTGACCAGGATCCGAAAGCCCAATATAATAAGCAGCTTTAGGATCCAGGATCTTGGTGATGAAATCCTAAGAGGAAAGAAAGATACAGCATTTAGCCTGGATGGAGTGTTCCTTTTTCTGTTATACAATTTTTATAAGATCTTTTAAAAGTTTTCTAACTATACAAAATTAGAGGTCAAATATGATGCACCTATGGAAATATATAATAATCAAATCCTATTCATCTCTCTAGGCCCCTCAACAGTTTTCAAATTATGGACTAATACTCACTAACTATACATTTTAGAGCTACACTGTGATATTTTGACTGACTTATTTCTGCTCACACAGAGATGAGAAGACAAAGAGAGGATCAAGGAATAGAAGAGCCACCCCCACCCCCAGGAGTGCCATCTTCTCCAGCTGACCAGGTCACAAAGTCATCACTCAGAGGCCTGATTTCCATGACATTGGAAACAATCTCTGTTCATGATCATAATGAATTCTCATCTCAGATTTACTCCATCTTTTCTTCCCCAACACCATTCTTAAAAGTTGTGCATGAGAGAATTTAGCAGATGTAAGCATTCTCCATTCATAACCTCAGATATTTCATTTCTGATGGCTGGCTGTGACTCTCCTGATTTGATCCCCTTTCCCTAGTCAGCTCTGCGCCCTCCTCTGTTAGGCAGTGGGTACTACAGGAAGCATTAGAGAGCTGAAATCACAAACTGCTCTTTCAAGCACAAACATTTCACCCTTCACTCCACCTCAGATGTTGCATTTCTGTTGCCATTGTTCCTTGCGGGTTGTTCAGCTTCACTGATGCAGGGACAAGGTGTAGAATGCCAAGGCTGAAGCAACCTTCCCGGCTACCTGATGGAAAGGATTCTGCCACATCAGCAACACCCATGTCAACAAAACTCCCTCTTAGTAAAAAGAGGCAGAGAGCAGGCCAGGCCCAGGCCCCATTCTCTCCCAGGATGCACCTGCTCTTCCTGGCTGTGGATCACCATCAGATGAGCACCCATGCTGGAGCACTTCTCCTCACTCTCTTCCCAAGATGCCGTGTCATTCGAAGTGAAGTAGCAGTGGGAACTAAATGGCTTCCAGTCCTTTGGGCAACAGCTCCAGACTTTGTCTTTGGGGGAAGAAGGAAATGTAAGTGCAATGTCATAGAGTCGTTTTAAAAGCTGTTTGATATGGAGACCACATGGAACCTGGGGCTTCAGACTTCTCCAGATACAACAAGGAGTCCCTCAGATGTCAAGCAACACCAGTCTACCTCTGTGGACACCAACTTCAAGGCCCCATTGTCCTACTGGGGTGCTGTCAGGAAAACAGAGTGTAAGAACACTCAGACCCTGAGGACATGATGCCAAACAGTCTGGGTCTCCAAAGAAGAGAACTCATCATACCAAGAACCAGAAAGTTCTCATATTACATAAATATATACATATTTATACATGAAAACAATAGATAGCATTAACCAAGGCAGCAAAATTTCAGAGTTAGCAGACAGATATTTTTAATTAGTGATGATAAAAGTGGTAATCAATATATTACAACAAACAAGATAACAAAACTATAGGTTTATCTAAAAACTTTAAAATGCCCGAGATAGATGTTACAAGAAGAAAATAAAAACATTCTGGAAACAACTTAAAAATATGTAAATCATCAACAATGAAAGATATAAAGAACTAAATGGAAAATTTTATCTGAAAAATATATTTGAAGTATTCCAGGATGTTAATTACATCCTGAAGGCAACAGAGATATCAGTGAACCCTCAAGGGCGGAAAAGGGGAAATGAAACAGAAAAATAAAGTTTCACATTAAAACCTTAAATATCTACAGATGAATGAAGTTCCCATAGAAATTCCAAGATTCTTCATCAGATAGATGGACAAAACAATCTCAAAAATCATATAGAAGTGCAAAAAACGCTGAAGAGGCAGAGAAATCCTGAAGGAAAAAGAATGATGTTGGAGGTATCACCAGATCTGACTTCAGGCTACACTATAGAGCATGGTGCCACAACAAAAGTACGCACATTGATCAATGAACACAACAGAGAACCACAAACATGAACCCACACAGCTACAGCCACCGGACTTTTCACTAGAAATACATATCGGAGGAAGATCGGCTCTTCAACAAACTGTGCTGGGAAAACTAGGTACTGATGTGCAGAAGAATGAAGCTAGATCCATAGGCATTCTGTGTAAATATTATCTTCAAAACAGACTCTAAATGGATTAAACACCTTACTGTGAGGCCTGGAACCCTGAAATTGTTACAGAAAAAAATAAAGACAAGAGATCAAGATGTAGGCATAGGCCAAGACTCCCTGAATGGGACTGCAGGCTGCTTTACAGCAAAGAATCCAGTGAGGGAAGAGAGAGAGATCTGCTGAGAAAGGCAGGAACCCCAGACAAGCTCAAATGCTCTAGGGCAACATGTGTTACCCAAAAGGTCTGTTGACAAAGACAGTAAACAAATTACCTATTTAGGGTCAGACGGTGTATTCCAAACACACCTCAGTTACAGATGTCAAAGACAGTCGAGAAACTGCTTACTCGGGACCAAAGTGATGGATAGCCTTAAGCACTTCCCTCTCTTTCCGAAATCTAAGTAATACACGTTCTTCAGTCCACCTTCCAGCTTAGTTTACGAAAGACAAATTCTCTATTCAAATCTTGAGTAAATTGTACTTTGTGGACACTCTAACTGAGAATGCAACAAGATCATCTCTCTCTCTCTCTCTCTCTCTCTCTCTCTCTCTCTCTCTCTCTCTCTCTCTCACACACACACACACACACACACACACACACACACACACACACACACACACACACACACAGATACACACACACACAGATACACACACACACACACACACAGATACACACACACTTATGAAAACACTCAAGGGACTACAGAAATGGCTCAGTGGTTAAGAGTGTGTACTGCTCTCACAGAGGACTCGAGTTCAGTTCCCAGCAGCCACCACCTGTGACTAACAACCACATCTAACTCCAGCTCCAGGGATCTGACATCCTCTTCTGCCTCTGCAAACAATGCACTCACGTACACCAACCCACACACAGGCACGTGTATATATATGTATATTAATTAAAAATGAAATCTTAAACACACACCATTGAGCATGACTCCCTGGAGACACTCACATTCACGCCATTAGATTTGCTTTATTCTTTCTGGAACTCCTTTCTGTTTCTAATAAAATTCTGCTCAGCCTAGTATTACTTCTCCCTCCTTGAAACTCTTCTTTCTTGACACTAGGGGGCACAAATCCCAATTATGTCTGAGTGGAGACCTCTAAAAATAACCCCACAGGCAGCTGGTACTGAGTGTGGGGTATGAAGTCGTGTCTCCATAGTGCCCATTGCTGATGGAGCTATGTGAGAATCGTGTTGGAAATGCTGATTTTAGGCACATTAAGTTTTACCTTTCGAGAGTGAATGCTGTTTTGTACACTCCAAGTCAGTGTAATTCAGATCTCTTGTAATTGCTTTTTCATCAAGAAGTGGAGAATGTTTTTTAAACAAAGCTGTAAAACAGAATAAAAACAATTCATTTTCCTGGTAGTGCTAAGACTTTTTTTTTTACTTTTAACTTCTTACATTCTTTGTAGAAACAAAGCCTATAAATGTACAGTTACCTGAGTCGTTAGAGTCTGCCTGGGACAGATTCCCCATCACCACAGAGTGTGGAGCCTGTGGTCCTAACACTTGGGTATTAGAGTGTGGAAGAATGGAAGTTTCAGGTCATCCTTAACTATACAAGTTAGTATAGTTGGGTGGTTGGTTTAGCTAGCTAGTTAGTTTAGTTTAGTTGGCTGGTTGGTTAAGTTAGTTGGTAACTTAGTTTTTGTTAGTTGATTAGTTAGTTAGATAATTAGTTAGTTAGTTAGTTCATAGCTAGCCTGGGCTACATGGGACCTTACCACAAACAGAGATATTTTTCCAATCCCTCACAGCCCAGTATTACCCTGCTCCTAGGGATTTATGACCACAGATAGCTTCAGGAAGAGCTGGAAGGACAGGACAGAACCATGACCCTGGGGACTCTTCAACATTTCATGGAGGACACACTAAAGACTACATCTAAGGTGATAAGTTCTATTAAGTATGTGAGCACCCCCAGGAAAGGTGAGGGAGAAATGAGCTAATCGAGAGCAGTTCCAGGTTACCTGAGAACGGAAGTTATAAAAGCCCGACTCTGATCAAAACGACTTTGTTTTCCTCCTCTTCTTTCCTGTATCTCCCTCCACCCCAGCTCTGACTTCTCAGGGTCCCCACACTTTCACAGTGCTCCTAACTTAAAACTAACTCACCTTTCCTCTAGAAATTGAATTTTCTTTCTTCTCTTCCTCATCTCCCACTTGTTCCTGGAGTCACTAGATTCTGGCTTTCCCTTCTGCTCATTTATCAAACATTCCTGAACTAGATGTCAATGGCTCCTCCTGTCCACTGACCAGTCATCTTCCTGTGGGACTTCTCACATGACCCTGCCTGCTTCTCTTCCTCCTTAACTGTTGGGAGACGGTAACTCCCTCCTGTTTTGCCTGGCCCTGTTTGCTGCTGTTTCCTGTGCTCTTTCCTACCTTTTTCCTTCTACACCCACCTCTCTTAAAATGGAACACTGCATCCAGTTCCTTCTGTATCTCTCTTTCTCCTCCAAATTCCTCTTCCTTAGTGATATTCATTGTTCTGGGTTGTTGGGGCTGGAGTTAGAAATGGTTGTTTTGGTTTTTAGTCTGTTTTTGTTATCTGCTGCCTATAAGCAAAGGTCTTCTAAAATGTACACCTCTTTCCTAAAACATGTTAATATGCATCACTAAACTGTGCATCTGAGATTTAGATAAACATAAACAAAACTTACATCATCTTATTCCAACTCAAATCTGCTACTCATCTTCTTCCTCTTCAAATAACTTCATGACTGCTGACTTTATGAAATAAGAATATTAAAGTCATATCTCACTCCTGTGTGCCCTAATTCTCAGCTATCAATAATTGACCAAAACGTCACATCATTTGTTCCAACTTATCTCCTCTCCTGTGTATCACTAGCATGATCTTTAGATCAAACCCCTAGTGCTGCTCAAATGGATTCTGAATAACATCCTAATTTCTGCTTCCCTTTGTTTTTATATCTCTGTAAAAGCACATTTCTCTAAGTCAGTTTTAATTTTATCATGTCCTGCTTCACATTCTTCAGGGGATCTCCATGACTGGGGCACATTGCAAAACTGGACACACTTCTTATCCTTCCCTATATGAATATTCATTTAGACTATGCCTTTGCAGTTCCCTTCTCAAGAGACTGGTCTGTGTCTACTTCATCTGATCTGAGCTGCCTTTAAGAGCTCTTTGGCCATTAAAACACACAAAGGCAAATGTGTGTGCGCTCCATGTTGGGCTTGGCTTACTGCCACCATCATCCTGAAAGTCTGAAGTGGCCATGGGAAGCTGGGTTGTCTGTTACTGATGTATGACTACATGAAAATGAATAAGCTCACCTAGGACCATGGGAATCTCCCAAGAGAGACCAGTCTCGGCTAAGCCACCAAGAAAGAATTAAATCAATAGTTCAATTAACATACTCACTTTTATGTTGGTTAGTGGCTGAGCAACAGCTACTAAATAAAATAACATTAAGAGGGGATACATGTGTAATATGGTATGCACTGTTTTGTGATCTGAGTCCAGTTTTGTCTGCTCCTACAGTTTCATGCTTAGTTCTCCATTGTTGGAGCCCATGTAGGTTTCCTAGCAGCTTTACCCAGCATGTCTGCATAAAGAGGAGGATTGGATCACAGGCCCCAGTACCAGGTGTCTGGGATGGTCTGCACTTGGCTGTGCTGGGGAGGTCTTTTGCTCCACCCATTGGCATTCCTTTTCAAACCCTAGGGCAGAGACAGTCAGGGCCCGATGGATTAGGATCCAGGCCCACACGAGGATATCTTGTTTTGTCTATCTTTTTCTCTCCCCTCTATCCTTCTATCTGATATTTCTGCTGCTTCTACTCAAGAGTACTCTGGGGAATCGTAGGGTGTGATGGCCCCCACACTCCATGTAGCACTATACATGACAGTAATGTGTACTTATATTTGCCCGAATTTCCCATGCCCCCACATGTCTAGGACATTGCTGGCACACACAGGTCTAGGTGTCATCTCCTCCAAGCTTTTCTTAGCCCCATGTGCTTACTTCTTACTTCTCACCTGCAGAGTATTTCACATGCAATTTTTTAAAGCACTGGTTCACTTGACCATTCTCTAAATTTCCTGACACTGGAGTCTGTAGTTATTTCTGGACTCTCTGACATGCTGCCCAATATATAGTAAACGGATATTACTAATTATTGCATGAATGAATAACACATCTACATGAAAATATAGTTTATGCTTTTTAGTTTTTGATAAATTTGAAGGCCAGTCTATAAAGAATTCCAGTATTTTCTAAATTAGCTTTCAGGTCTCACAGAATCTGGAACAAAAAATAAGTGATTAGAAGGAACTCTACTGGAGCACTGTCCCTGGAATAGCTCTATCCATGTCTTCTAATCCCTCTACTCATTCCAAAATATAGATGTCTATGTGTCCAAATGCTGCTGATGAGGTAGTACAGGCTTGTTCTCCTTACTGGATCCTAACACAGATGCCCCAGGATTTCACTCTGTGACACCAACAAACAAACACACCTGCTTCTCTAGTGAGAATGAATGACTTTTACATAAGAGTTATCCTGAAACAGAGGGAAATTCCCAATGTCATCCATCTCTCCAGAGAGTGTCTGTCTCAGGTTTCTGGGTCACCATCTGTCTAATGAGTCCCTTTCCTTCTCTGTGTTTAATTCTCCCAGGGACATACTTACTGATCAGAGCAATTGAGAATAACATTTTCAATAGCAGTAAAAGTATTATGATTGAGGTGAGAAGCAACTTGGAGAATCTGTGAAAACTTTCATGTCTCATGGTCTTCTTTTGAGGAGCTGAAAAACAAACCAAATTCATGTCTTCAGCTCTGTTCCTATTTCCTCTTCTTTCTCCTATTCTACTCTTTTTGTGCATGATAAACACTTGTAACATGATGTTCGAAATAATAGGAAAATGCGAACAGAAGATATCATTAATATTATAAAATTAATATCTATTAATTATAGAAACATTACAATTTGTACAAAATCACTCATTCCTGGCACAAAGAGTGACTGTTTTCAGTATTTTGGTATGTATCTTTCCAACAAGTTTAAAGCTTTTAAATATAAATATATATTTTCCACAATTGGAACATCATAAACACTGATTTGTGACCATCATTTTCTTTGACATTATATTACGATTTTTTTAGTTTATGAGTTTTTTGGTTTTATTTTGAGACAGGGTCTTGGTATGTACCCCAGGCAGACTTTGAATGTATTATGTAGTCCAAGCTGGCCTCAAACTCACAGCAACCCCACTGCCTCTAACTCCTGAGTTTTGTGACTACAGTCTTGTGCCAGCACATCTGGATGAACATTATTCCATATCATGTCTTCTTTATCAGTTTTATTATGATTGCATAGTATTTTATGATATACTTTTAAAGACTTCCACCTTGCTTCCAACTTCAAATATGCAGTATTCAATAAGTCACATGTTATGATAAAGTGGCCAATGTTTTCAGTCACCACTTCTAAAAGAGTTACAATACTTCCCAACCATGGGTGAGTTCCTGGGTTCTGTCCCCATCACGGAAGGGAGAGAGTAAAGAAGATACTCAACACATGGATGCCAACAGACTATGACATGTCACCAGATAGAGGGGGAAATCAGTATGCCATGGTTTAACTTTGAAACAATTTGTTACACATATTTATGTGTGTTTATATGTAGAAAAGATACAATAACATGTATGGTGAGATTTTCTCTAGATGGTAGAAGACAACACCTTCTCTTCTCCATTGTACAATCCCACAACCTTTCACATCTGTCTACAGGCAACACACTTGGTTGAGACTCCAGTGACCCAGAGGTATGGCCAGAGGCTAACATCATCTTTGTCCTTTACATCATCACTCACTAGGAGCAGCAGAAAATGCTTTCTTACCTGGAGGAGAGTCGGCATCCATGTCTGAGGAATCAAGACTATTTATGAGGTTCTTGTTAAAATAGATTTTTTAGAAAGTGTGTTGAGAAGAAATCTTCCCCTGCCTTCAGAGGATATGTGTCATCCCTTCTTTAAAACAGGTCCTGAACAAGAAAGAAATTATCTCAATACCAGCTAGAGATGAGAGGCAGTAACAGACAGCTGCCCTGAGCGTACACCATGAGGTGCAGTCCCCTGACCTGCAAAGGGAGAATCACAGGTGGAGAATGCATCCAGGATTATTATACAATCATAGAAATACCAAGAACTCAATGTGGGAGAGAAGAAAACAGGAAGGAATGGAAAAGAGGAACCAGGCCATTAGAGAAGTCAAACTTCTCACAGAGTTGAGATTCTGACACTCGGTCTGAACTGACCTCTACAATAAACTCCATTTCCCGTCTTGTGCTGTGATTCCTACTCATTCCTGGTCCCTGTAGAGCTGCCTCCTGACCTCCCTGAGGCTTTAACGCCACACTCAAGTCGCCCCCATGGACAGAAGAGTTCTTCAAACCAAAGGTACCTAGTTTACACCCTAGACTGTCCCACCTCATGGACACAAGGTCTTCACCATGCTCAGTCTCTGGAACTCACACCAGCTCTATCTGAGGCATGGATACTCCCCTAAACCTGCCTGAGCTCTGACGGCCCAGTTCTTACACATCCCAGCAAGGATTTCCTCGTTCTCTTGAAAGTCACTGAGTTCCCACATTGTGTTTTCCACTCCCAAACTCTCTACCTTGCCTGGTTTCTGATTCCACGCCTGGGTTTACCCTCTGTGGGGAACTTCCCCTCAGCCTGCTGAATCCCCGGACCCCAACCTGACTTGGAGCTAACACTGCACTGGGGTCCACACTCACCTCCTTCAAGTGCTGAGGTGTGACACCAGGCTGTCTTCTAGGACCCTCTGCTCACTCACTCATTCAGGGTTCTGACTTCCCACAAGAAGGGGCCTCAAGCATGGATGCCTTCTCACCCTGCTTCAGCTCAGAGGCTCTGCACCTGCCCACTCTCAGACACAGACCTTGTCACCTCTCAGGCTCTGAAGTCAGTCACATCAGGCTGCTGCTTGTGGACTCTCTCCCCATTCAAGACACATTTCCCCTCACTGCTCAGGCTCCAATTCTGCTGTCAAGCCAGCCCTCTGCACAGACAGATCATTGCTTCCCCACACCCCACCCTACCATGGACGCCTACGCTGCCTTGTCCTGTATAATACTTTACTCAAAATTGCATCATTTAATAAGTAAAGGGAAATAGTATTTTTAAAGGGTAAAAGATGAACAAGAGAATTACTAGTTCTCCATATGTGGTTCAGAGAACCAGTGATTCATGCACAGACATCCTCTCAACTGTAACCACTTATTCCAGAGTCTCTATCATTCAAATTCCTTATAAAAAATTGAGTTCTAAAGTTACCTCTATCTTCCTAGGAAAAAAATCACATTGTACATGAACTATACTGTATCATCAACCATCCCAGTACCTAACTAGCTTACAACATAAAACACTTATTTCTTGATCACATTTTGCTTGTGCTTAGGGTCTGTTTAAGGATAACTAATTCTGCTTAGATGCTTTCGTGCATTTCCTCATTCTGGAGCCAAGACCACAGCATATTTGAGCATGCAATGTACTCCACTATTGTGGTCAGGGCTAGGAATATGGCTCAGCAGGTATAGGTGTTTGCTACCAAGCCTGATCATCCAACTTCAATCCCTAAACATAAGAGAGAACCATCTCCTACAGGTTGTCCTAACTTCCATGTCCATCTACACACACACACATACACACACACACACACACACACACACACACACACACACACACACACACAAATGAATAATATAGAGGTCATTAAAAAGTCACTCATATAACATTGGACAATGGCAGTCACTTGCACAAACCTATAAATAGGTAGAAAGACAGACTACCTACACTGTAGGTCCCACAGGAAAATGTGTCAAGACCATCGAAGTTTAATCCCTCCACAGAGAATTATGCAAACTACTTCCAATCACTTTACATTATCTAGCTAAAGGATTGCTAACAACGTCCTCAAAAATGTGGTGTAAATAGCAAAAGAAACATTTATCAGGATGAAGAGACAGCTTACAGTATGGGGGGGGGGGGTCCCAACAGGACTCATGAACTGAACAGAGTTCTCAAAGGATGATACAGATGACCAATAGATACGTAAAAAAGTGTTCAAGCCGGACAGTGGTGGCACATGCCTTTAATCCCAGCACTCGGGAGGCTGAGCCAGGTGAATCTCCGAGAGTTCAAGGCCAGACCGGTCCAGGATAGGCCCAAAAATACAAAGGGAAACCTTGTCTCAAAAGAACCAAAACCAAAAAAAAAAAAAAAAAAAAAAAAAGCAAAGAAATAGTAAGTTTATGGAGCTCAAATACATGAGGTGTTTTTCTTCAGATTTACAGTTTAAAATAAGTATGTTTAATGTGCCATAAGAAAAAAATCAATATTGAGAATTTCTATGAAGAACTGGAAAATCTTTAAAAGCAAATGGTGAAAGTTAAGGGTTGAAGAATGCAGTGTCAGCTCTGAAGTACTCAGTGGCTGGGTCATGCAATCTGCAGTCATCATGAGATCCTTGGGACACATCAGCTAAGTGTGGAGAGGCCAGAGCCTGCAGGCTTTGCAGATTCCCGGTTCTGAACGGTGCTTTCCTGTGAGCACGGCAACAGCGGGTAGAAAGCACTGGATCCAGACACCGTGCTCAGACCTAAGCCAGTCAGAGGTTCTTGGAGGAAGAGGCTGCACCTTCCTGCAAAGGAAGAGCTGTTGGGATGCCAGTACAGACTGCGCAGTCCGTGAGGCCACCAGATCCAGCGAACCCTGAGCTGTGTGCAGAGGGCCAGCAGGGTGAGGGGCAGTGTACACAGTCCCCGAGGCTGCAACAGGTACAATTGAGAGCAGTCACACATGGCCGCAGGAGCCTGGCCTGGATGGAGGGAGGCGCTTCGGGCGGCAGTGCCCTCCTGTGTTCAACATCTCCTTGAGTCAGGCACTACAGGATCCTTTCTCAACCTTCCTAACGATGTGACACTTTAATACAGTTCCTCGTTTTGTGGTGACCACCAGCTAAAAAATTATTTTCATTGCTGATTCATAACTGTAATTTTGACACTGTTATGAATCGTAATGTAAATAGCTGCGTTTTCCAATGGTCTTAGGAAACCCCGATGAAAGGGTCCCTCGAACCTCCCAGGGATTGTGACAAACATGTTGAGAAACCATGTGCTACACGGACCAGAAGATCTGAGTTCTGCTGGGGAGGAGGGTGACCACGCCCTTCTCCACCTGGTTCACCATTCTGCTGCTCCCACCCAGCAGTGCTCATCCAGGACAGAGGCTCTGGTGTGGTGGGGGACTCACACCTCATCTTCACACAGTGCCCTTCCTGGGGTCCCTGGGGAGATGGAAATGAGGCCCAGTGGCTGGTGGCACTACTGCCATCTCTCCTCATCCCACTGTGTGGACCTCAGATACAAAGGACCCAGCTCAGTGCCCAGCACTTTCCTGTCTCACTGTGCATGCTGCACATCTCGTCTGTGGTCTGAGCAGCTTCTGCTGCTGGGCGCCTTTTCAGACATCAAGTCCAGCTGAGACTATGCGAGAGACAGAAAGCCAAGTTTCAGTATCTGACCCCAGACACTCGCGGGGATGCTTGGAAATACTGGCTATTCTGCAAAATGTGCAAATGAGCTGCACAGGAAGGTCCAGAGATTGCAGAGGCCTCCCCAACGCACAGCAGTTCAACCATTCCGATACCAGTGCACAAGTAATAACAGTAAGTCTGAGCAAACATTTCTTAGAACTCCAGTAACAGAAAAGGAAAGCCTGGCCCAGCCCTCCCACAGATGTTTTTCCAGAGAAGTAGGTCTAGGAGCTAAGACACTCAACAGTGCCGCTGTCCTAGCTTCCCTTGGAGGCTTTGTCCTTACCCTGGGTTTGTTCTAGCAAGTGTCAGGGCTAAAACAGAACATCATCTGCAGTTAAACCCAAGCTCCGAATATTTCAGCCAGATGTAGCAGCTCCCACACACACACCACGGAAACAGCCACTGCCTAGAGGCATGGGCTCCATGTGACAGGAGACTGGGCTCCTGGAATGGGCTCAGGTGATCAGAATTCTCCTGGCTCCTGGCCCTTTGCCTCCAAGAACACAAACAGCTCCTCTCTGGTCCATAGAGAAACTTCCCTGCCCTGGCATTGTGGGAATTTTCTGGTAAAACTGTTCCCTGTTGCCCCCGTGTGGTTTAAATTACAAACCACAGGTCTCTCCTCTCCTGACCCCTCTACTCCACTTCGGAACCAAAAGTGACACTTGTTTCCCATTACTTGGGCAGCACCTAGTCCCAGCACTCAAGACCAGAGCAGGATGATCATGATATTAAGGGGTGTTTGGTACATTGGAAATGGTTGAATTTTGTAGAAGTAGAAGGTGATTGAATGTGCTTTGCAGAATCTTAGTTCGGAAACATATAATACAATTAAAAACTTGTTTCAGTTGAGGAGCTGATGAATCACCCAAACCCTGGACCTACAAGAAACTGCCAATTCGGTTTTTCTTACAGGACCATTCATTGACCTGGGCTCACCTGGGTAGTTTTTAGTTTATTATTACCCTGCAAACACAGACCTTATTTAATTTTGTGACATGTCTGTGTATTTAAAAGTGCTCTGAGGAAAATTAAAGAGCACATAATATACAGAGTAGCATGAAGCCGTCAACACTGAGTACTGGGGCGATGTTACAGTTCAAGTTCACTCTACTGTGCAGTCAGAGGAGCTTAGTGAAGTGGGACCTTTCTGCTTCCTTTGTCCCGACCCTGTTGTAGAAACAATAATGGTGAAAGTTCACTTTAAACAAAGTAAAAGTCCCCTAGATGTCAGGCAGTGATGGCCCACACCTTTAATCCCAGCACTTGGGAGACAGATCTCTGATTTCAAGTCCAGACTGCTGTACAGAACAAGTTCTGGGACAGCCAGGGCTATACAAAGAAACTCTGTCTACGGAACAAAAAAAAAAGCCCCCCAGAATTATTGTGCACCTTCTTCTCTGGGAAGTGAACTTGTAAATCTGAAAACACATGCAAATGAAACCTGCATAGAAAGAACTTGAGTTTGATTGTGGTCAGGAAATGAGCAGCTAATGAAAGGCACAGTTGCAGGAACTCTGGTGGTCACATTGGGATGGCCATGTGTAGATAAGATCCCACTTCTGTGTGGAATCTTCACAAGGAAATCTCACAGGATAAATTCAAGAGCAATTTCAAGGTCCTGGGTATTAGGAAAAATAGGATGATGATGGTGAACTGAAAATTCAGATCCAAGAGAAGTTCTGGAGACCAGTGTGCACCGTGGTGACAACAGTCAATAGTATTACAGCGTGACAGGAATTTGTTTAGGAAGACCTTAAGTGTTCTTTCTGCACAAACACAAATAAATAGCCACTGTCTTCTGTAATGCATGTGTTGGCTAACCTGTAATCATTTCCTAGTATATACGTACATCAGATCAGCACATCAGTATCTTAGGCATACAGAAGTTTATTTGTCAGTTATACATCAACAGAGCCAAAGAGGAAAGACAAACGGCAGATGGGGGCAGAACCACAGCATCCAATCAATGAGTAAAACCTTAGCATCAGACAGACCTTATCAGAGAGACACATGTGCATTCTGTGTGTGCACAAAAGGCTCTCTAGCATAGTGGCTGGCAAGGAGAAAATGCTTCTTTTATGATTGAGAAAATGGATGAATAAGAGCAAATGTGAGCCAATGTTCCTGTAAGTGGAAGAATCTGTGACCCAGCTGACTAAAATTCTGCAGACATGGAGAAATTACTAGAGTCTGGGTGCAGTGTCAAATGCCTTTAATGCGAGCACTCGGAAAGGAAAGGCAGGAGGATCCTTGTGAGTATGAGACCAGCCTGGTCTACATAGTGAGTTCTAGAACAGCCAGAGCTACATAGTGGAGACCCTGACTCCTGAGACAGAGAGAGAGACAGAGACAGAGACAGAGACAGACAGAGAGACAGAGAGACAGAGAGAGAGAAAGAGAGACAGAAAGACAGAGAGACAGAGAGACAGAGAGAGAGAGATTATTAAGACACTGATTTACTGATACAATGCTAAGCACTTACGTTTGATCCCTAAGAGGACCAAATGAGGACCTCTCTAGCTATCTCCATGATTATGGATTCCACTCCAACCATGTCATGTGTCCATAGAGAATGTGTGATTCATAAGACAGCTGCATCATCTCACAAACTTGACTATAATAACCATCATAAGAGATATCACTCAAGCCCCATTCTTTAACGTTTGGGTGATAATTAAGCATAACACAAAATCCCTTCTTGCCACTGGGTTCCTCTGATTGCCAGAGTCTGAAAAAGAAAAAGATGAGGGTAATTCTCACAACAATACTTTGAAAAGAGACAGAGGCAATAGGGGTCTGAAAGCAGAGAGTGAACTTTGTGGAAATCAAGGTCATGTGTGCCCAAATTACCCATCCCCCACTAGGCATGCAGCTTCTCCTCCACTTGAATCTCTGACTTTCCCTTGAAAACTGAGCCCACAGCACCTTATTGTATTATGTAATATGCAGGCAAGTATCCCAAAGGCTCACCTCTATTTGATCATTCCTACACCCTTTCTAAAGCTCTCTTATCGGATGAAAATATTTCCCGTCAGTACTACGGGCCGACAGTTCTATCCTTTTCTAAATAACATTTTTATTTACTCTTTGAGACCTTAATACAACATATTTTGATCATAGTCTTTCCCGTCCTCACCTTCTTCTGGATCTTCCCCAAACTCCCTACCCACCCAACTTCATTTTTATTTTCTCTCATTAAAAGAACAAAAACATGGAGTCCATTTGTGTTTGTTGACTGCTCATAAGCATGGGGCCTGCCCTGGAGTGTGGTTGATATACCTAGTGACACTCCACTAGGGAAAGCTGGTTTTCCCTCTTCCAGAAGCTATCAATGGGAAGAGCATCTCTGTTAGGGGTGGGACTCTGTGCCCACGTCCCCTCCTCCATGCTGGGATTTGGTCTGACTTGAGCTTGTAGGTCTAATGTAGCTGTCACAGTCTCTGGGAGCTCATCTGTGCATCTGACCTTCTTAATGGAATGATTTACAGCCTGAGGAACTAACTAAAGTATACACACCTTCTATTTATTATACCTTGGGCAAGTCATTTAATTTCTTGGTATTCTCAGTTCCCTATCTTAAAATTTGGGACTACAGTACCATGGGAATAAGTTGTCATATCACACAATTGTATAAGAGAAGAGGAATTTCCCGATGGGATATACCACATGAGAATGAGAAACCACGGAATCACTTGGGCCACATACAGAGATGCAACATCTTAAAACAAGAGGAAAAGAATTTTTGCATTCGGCCGGGTGGTGGTGGCGCTCGCCTTTAATCCCAGCACTCGGGAGGCAGAGGCAGGCGGATCTTTGTGAGTTCGAGGCCAGCCTGTTCTGTAGAGCAAGATCTAGGAAAGGCTACAACAGAAAAATCCTGTCTCGAAAAACCAAAAAAAAAAAAAAAAAAAAAAAGAAAGAGTAGTGGCATTCAACCCTACTCAGCATGATATGCAAGTACTTTAAAGTGGGAACTCAAAGGGGACGGGGAAACATAGGAAGGAGGGGTGAAGAGGAACCATGCGGTTAGAGAACTCCGTCCTAAGACACTCTGCAGCAAACATAAGTTCATGCACTTCTGTATGCTAACATGGTTTCAGACGAACCAGACAACATGAGCAAACACTCAAGGCATGACAACATCCATTTTGACTGAACAGCCAAGTTCTGACACCACATTCTAGAGGACCATTGGCCCCTCAACATTGTGTGGGCTCCCACTTCCCACTCAGCTGCCTCCTGCAGGGGGAAGGCAAAGCTCACATCCTGCTTTTTCTGAAGCTGCTCCTCTGAGCTCTCTGCTTCCCACTGTCTTCATAACTCACTCATGGGCACTCTCCACTCACTGGGCCATTGACCACATCCTGACACAGCTCTGGTTAGCGGCTGTGGGAGGAGGCTGTCTCTCTCCTCATGCCTCTCCTCCCTTGATCCCTGCACTGCTCAGCACCAGCCTTGAGCCTTGTGGGTTCACAGCACTGTTGGGAACAGTTGGGAGAATTAACGGATCACAATATACCAGAGGGAAACTTAAACTAGTTACTAATAATGGGATCATTTGAGTTCCACCTGCAAATGTCTTCCAGCTCACACCCACATGCTCAGCCTCCAACTCTTCCAAACACTTCCCTTCTTGAAATCTCCTGTGGCTACTCGCATGTTCATACACATAACAAGCAAACAGCATCTGGTTGCTGCCTTGAGGACCAGCTTCCAGCAGCACAGGGCTTGAGGACATGGACTTTTTTATCTGCTATAGAGGGAACACACACACACACACACACACACACACACACACACACACACACACACATCTATCATCTCTCTCAGTTTTTCATTTCTCTCCTCACCTCTATCCATAAATGTCCCTTCTGTCTCTCCTGATGTCTTCATTCTGACTAATTTGATTTTTTCCCTTACAGCTTATATACCCCAGCAACATCTTTCAAGCAATATAAAAATTACAGTGTGGTTACATTGTGTTTTTCAAGTGAATGATTACAATGAATACAGGTAAAAACATGTTTTTCATCTCCCTTACATAATTAAACAAAATCATCCCAAGAACCCACATGCATTCACCTCTAAGTAACTTGTTATAGATTAACAGAGTGTGAGCAGTCAGGGTTTTTTTTTTCTCAGCCAGTTCTTTTGCTGGCAGGCTGTATACTGTGGTTACAAAGAAAGGACCAATCATTTTATTATTTATCTCTAAAAGTTAACTTATAAGAAATCTTAGAATAATCACAAATCTAAACTTTTATATATGAAAAACAATCAGTCATCTCTACTTTAAATCTTTAGGATGCATACCCATTCATCAACAGGAAATTGAGAGCAGAAACGGGTACAAGGAATTAATCATCACCTTTGGTCATCAACCAATCATGCAAGAAAGGCACGTGAGCTAGTAATAATTGGGCTGTTTGTTCTTCTTCCCTAACCTTATCGAGTCCTCACTCAACTATGTGCCTTTCTAAAACTTTAGATTGTTTCCTGGATTTTCCCCCTCAAAGCTATTCACAAAAATTTCACAATCTAACCTTAAGTTACTTTTCAAAGCTTTGTTTCAGCTGTGATGCACTCTGAAACCTATGAACACATTTTCCAACACTAAGATTAAAAGAATTTAAGCTCCCTAGGCTGCTGGGACTTAATCGTTAACCTAAGCCACAGTCTATATGACTCTTCAAGAGAAATAGTTGTGTGACATTTCCTAGTTTTATTTTTTATCCTCTGCAGGCTCTGCTTCATCAGAGGCAGGAGCAACATTTTATCCTCCCTTTACCTATGTTAATTTTCCCACTAAACTAACCTCTATCATAATCCCTTATTATGTTGATTAAAAACCCTCAATCAGCCGGGCGGTGGTGGCGCACGCCTTTAATCCCAGCACTCGGGAGGCAGAGGCAGGCAGATCTTTGTGAGTTCGAGGCCAGCCTGGTCTACAGAGCGAGATCCAGGAAAGGCACAAAGCTACACAGAGAAACCCTGTCTCGAAAAAAAAAAAAAAACCCTCAATCATCAGACTTTTCTATACAGTAACACTATTATTGTATAAAATCATTACTTCAGTTAAACAGTAAAGCTTAGGAGGATATCATCTCCACAATAATCCTCAGGTAAAAATGTCCAGTAGAAAGGGATACTACCAAGAGATTATCATACTGCTTTTAGGGTAGTGGGGATCTCCCCGTGCCCATTCACACCATGCCAGATACCAGAGAAAATGGCAGCAGCAAAACTGGAAATGCACAGCAGTAGCAAGAGAAGTTCTGGGCCTAAGATCTTGGAGCCATACCTATCCGAGATTCACCCATCAGGGTTTTGTTTCCTGGTAGGCCAGCTCTCTGAACCTTAACTGCCACCTGCTGCTCCTCTGACACAGCCATGGGCACACATTCATGCAGAACACAAACACACACACACACACACACACACACACACACACACACACACACACACTTAGTTCATGTTTCTAGGTTTTCTCATGCTTTTGTATCCAAACATACTGAAAACCATGGGTTCACACTATTATCCCATTTTAATTTAATGCCACCACAGGTCTTATTTCTTTCCCAAATTTCAGCATTTCTAACCTACTTCTTTTTTTTTTTTTTTTACAGTTTTTTTTTTTATTTATTTTGCAATACAATTCAGTTCTACATATCAGCCACGGATTCCCTTGTTCTCCCCCCTCCCATCCCCCTCACCTTCCCCCCAACCCCCCCCCCCATTCCCATCTCCTCCAGGGCAAAGCCTTCCCCACAGACTGAGGTCAACCTGGTAGACTCAGTCCAGGTAGGTCTAGTCCCCTCCTCCCAGGCCGAGCCAAACAATCCTGCATAGGCCCCAGGTTTCAAACAGCCAACTCATGCAATGAGCACAGGACCCGGTCCCACTGCCTGGATGCCTCCCAAACAGATCAAGCCAATCAACTGTCTCACCCATTCGGAGGGCCTGATCCAGTGGGGACCCCTCAGCCATTGGTTCATAGTTCATGTGTTTCCATTCATTTGGCTATTTGTCCCTATGCTTTATCCAACCTTGGTCTCAACAATTCTCGCTCATATAAACCCTCCTCCTTCTCGCTAATTGGACTCCCAGAGCTCTACCCAGGGCCTAGTCATGGATCTCTGCATCCAGACCCCTCAGTAGTTGGATGAGGTTTCTAGCATGACAATTAGGGTGTTTGGCCATCCCATCACCAGAGTAGGTCAGTTCGGGCTGTCTCTCGACCATTGCCAGCAGTCTGTTGTGTGGGTATCTTTGTGGATTTCTGTGGGCCTCTCTAGCACTTTGCTTCTTCCTATTCTCATGTGGTCTTCATTTACCATGGTCTCCTATTCCTTGTTCTCCCTCTCTGTTGTTGATCCAGCTGGGATCTCCCGCTCCCCCAAGCTCTCTTTCCCTCAACCCTCGCCTTCCACTACCCCCACTCATGTCCAGGCTGTTCATGTAGATCTCATTCCATTTCTCTGTCATTGGGCGATCCCCGTGTCTTTCTTGGGGTCCTGTTTTCCAGGTAGCCTCCCTGGTGATGTGAGTAGCAGACAAGTCATCCTTGTTTCATGTCTAGTATCCTGCTATGAGTGAGTACATACCATGTTTGTCTTTCTGAGTCTGGGTTACCTCACTCAGGATGATTTTTTCTAGATCCATCCATTTGTCTGCAAACCTCATGATGTCATTGTTTTTCTCTGCTGAGTAGTATTCCATTGTGTAAATGTACCACATTTTGTTTATCCATTCTTCAGTTGAAGAGCACCTAGGTTGTTTCCATGTTCTGGCTATTACAAATAATGCTGATATGAATATAGCTGAACAAGTGCTCTTATGGTGTGGTTGAGCATTCCTTGGGTATATGCCCAAGAGTGGTATAGCTGGATCTTGGGGGAGATGGATTCCCAATTTTCTAAGAAAGCGCCATATTGATTTCCAAAGTGATTGTACAAGCTTGCATTCCCACCAGCAGTGGAGGAGAGTTCCCCTAGCTCCACATCCTCTCCAGCATAAGGTGTCTTCAGTGTTTTTGATCTTAGCCATTCTGACAGGCGTAAGGTCTAACCTACTTCTATGAGTGAAAGATCTGTGTTCATTATCTCTATGGAAAGCTCTCAAGTGACAATCTCTTGGATGCTGCCCATCACCCTCCCACATCCTCTACTAAGCTGCCTATCTCTCCAGGATGGGCTCCAGCCCTGAGGTCAAGCCTGTGTCCCCTGAACTGATGCCTTCCTCCCTTTAGCTGGATGTTCCCTCTCATATCAGACACCTTGCTGAAGTTCTCACACTAAGGCTGAGGAAAGCCTCCTTCACCAGTCTTTTGTGCTGACTCCTGTTGCTAATGCCTGAGGAATCTCTACTTACCCCTGAGGCTTTAGCACTCCACCTAGGTCACCTTCATGTGCAGAAGCCCTCATCCCCCTGGAAGGTACTGAGTGGCCACACAGAGCTATCCCACCAGGTAGACAGCATCCTTACTTTGCCAGTCTCTGAAACCCATACCAGCTCTGCCTTCTGCACAGACACTCTCCTCAGCCTATTTGACCAGTGCACCCAATGCCAGGACATCCACAACCAGGCAAGGATGCTCTCCTCACCCTACTAGACACTAAGGTCCCATGTTCACATCCACCATAGAGACACTCTTTACCCATGTCTGGTCTGCCCTCTGCAAGGAAGCTCCTTTCAACCCTCTGTGTCTCTGAATTCAACCCATATGGAGCCAACACTATGGACAGGTGACCTCCTCACTATGCCTGGTGCCCTCCTCACCATGCATGGGTACCATCGTCACCATGCATGGATGTCCTCCTCACTCTACACAGACGCCTTCCTCATTCTACACAGGTGCACTCCTCACTCTACACAGGTGCCCTTCTGCTTATGCATTGGTACCTCATCACTCTAAACAGGTGTTCTACTCTGTAGTCAAAGTTTTCTTGACCCAAATGCTGGTCCCCCAAATAACTGGCAGCTATTTCTTTAATAACTGACTCAGGAACTTAATACAAATTATAAATCCTCAGCCAATAGCTCAGGCTTGTTACTAACTAGCTCTTACACCTTAACCCATTTCTATTAATTTATGTGGTGCCCTGAGGCCCATGGCTTTTTACCTCTATCTCATTTTGTGTCCAACTCATGCTCCTGGAGACTCCTCTGACTCCACCCTTCCTCATTCCATCATTGTCAGGTCAGCTTTACCATCTAACATATCCTGTTAAGATACTGGCCAGTCAGTTTGCTTATTGAACCAATCATAGTGACCTATCTTCACAGTGCACAAAACAATTATACCACATCACTCCTCACCCTGCATAGGTGACCTCGAAGTCTGCCCGGATGCCCTCCTTCACTCTGCACAGGTGTGCTCCTTACCCTTTTGAACACCCAGTTCCTCCATCAGAACCCTCTCCTCTGCTATTTGCAATTCTGACTCCCCACAGAAAGTGACCCAATGAGTTGATACCCTCCTCACAATGCTGGAGCACTGATTCCCTACAAGTGACCATTCCACAGCATAGCTGCCCTCTTCACCTCTCAGGCTCTGGCGTCTCACACCAGACGGCTGCCTGGAGACTCTCTCCTGAATCCAAACACTTTCTCACCAGCATGCTGACATTCCCCTCACTGCTTGGGCTCCAGTTCTGCTGTCAGGCCAGCCCTCAGCACGGTCACCCAGACCCTGGACCAGACCATTGCTGCCCCACACCTGACCCTTCCACAGACACCTGCCTTGCCCTCCCTACACCATTCTTTATTCAGTAAGTTACTAAGTAACTGAGGTGCTGCAAGAAAAGAAACTAGATATGACAGAGTTAAAGTCCTGTGTAATTATTGAACTTATCGAGTATTTCCATGGTAATAAATATGCCTACACACCACTTCATTCCAGTTATAGATGCTCAGGGGTTTTCCATTCTCAGCAAAATATATTTCTAAGTTATCATATCCTACATATACTAGAATAATCTATACACAATATTCAAGTGGCTTCCAATGACAAATATTTCTCATTTGCATATGTCCTAAGGATTTGGTTATGGGTCACTGAAACGCTGTTCATCTTCTTTCCACATTTATCACTTTGGAGCTAGGTCAGAGAATCACAGCTTCTTGTAAGTTGAATGTGTAGTAGCCGCCTATATTTAGATAATCAGATTGTTTCTCATTCTATGGGTCAGTGAAAGTGACCTGGACAAACCAGACAATTAGGGTTGAAAGCATACTCTGTAAAAAGAAAGATGAGTCAAAGGCTTTGAAACAGTCCTTTAACAGAGAATTATGAAAGCACTGGGAACCAGCATAGCATCTACACCTAATCCCTTTACTGTTACTCAAGAGATGTATGTTATTGGGTTTTAAAATGAAACATTAGTCCCATCAGCAGAAAAGAGGTATCATTGCAACACAAGCATGAAATACTAAAACTCGCTGGAGAGATGGCTCAGTGGTTAAGAGCACTGACAGCTCTTCCAAAGGTTCCCAGCAACTATATAGTGGCTCACAACCATCTCTAGAGGGATCTGATGCCCTCTACTGGCATAAAGCCATACATGCAGATAGAGAACTCATACATAAAAATAAATAAATAAATAAAATATTCAACTTGAGCTTTATTTTCTCTGATAGTGAAGTAAACTAGTGTCATACAGGTTTAGTGTTGGGTGTCTGTCATGTACACCATGGGGTCTGTCAGGAAGCAGTGTGGTTATGTCTGGGATGGTGATGGTGCACATTTTCCTGTTCATAAACATCTGTATTCATATCTTTTACACCTGTCGAACAAAGACTTTATCTAGACTTTTACCCAGTTCATAGGAGGTTACCTCTCTAATTCTTTGGAATTCCTGGAGCTATTGGGAAGGCTGTTTTATGATGGTAGGCCATGAAGCTTTATGCTGCTCAGTTCTTTCACAGTTCATGCTAACAAGACAATTCATATTGGGAGTTCACCATTTCAGAAACACTGACCGTGCTATTAAAGTGTGTTGGCTTTGAGCCATGAGATGCTCACCCTGGCAGGGAAGTGATGCTAAAGGCTGAGTTCAGTCTCTTGTAAACCAAACAATCACACCTATATAATGAACCCTGATTAGTCTCTGAACATCAGAGCCCAGATGAGTGCCTCCTGGTTGGCCTATTCTGTATACTGTCTCTCATTAACATTGTGGAAAAAGATGCATAAATGGGGTCAATGGAAGTTCCCTATTTGGGACCCTCCCTGACCTCGCCTGGGATGTCCCTCCCTTTAGTTCTGCTTTGTGTTCTTCTACATAACAAAACTATAATACTAATAGAACAGAATCATTAGTTCAGTGTGTCATCCTAGCAACTCATAAATCTGCAGGTATCATGGGATCCTGGGACTCTGCAGACAGTTAAC